TATTGAAAGTTTTGGGATCAATAATCAAGATTTGGATAGAGGACCAAAATCGAACGAAAAAATTGAAATAGGAAACAAAGCACAACAATCCAAAAGTTGAGGAGCTACACCGCAATAAGCATACCCTGCGGTTCAAGCAAAAGCCTCTTTGTCGCGGCCTGACCACGAGTTCGCGAAGGAGGCATAATTTGGTCACAGTTGGAAAAAAAAAATTAGGATTTATTTTATTTTTTATCCTTTTCGAGGCACCGCTTTTGAAACAGGTCTAACACCATAAAGACATAGTCTAGTAAAAAATGAGAATGAGGATTACACTCCGTACACGAAGAAGAAAAAAGAGAAGAAATACAAGGAAGAGAGAAAGAAAGTTAGGGTTTCAAGATTTTTCAAGTAAAAAACGGATTCTAGGTATAAGAGATCATTTTTTTTCTCGTTTTTCTTTCAACGGATGTACTCCAAAACCATTTTATGCATTTCTCAGTCATAAAGTTTAACTAAACCAATAGTTGGAAGGAACGATGAACCTAGTTTCGAACCTTATTTTTTAATTATTATGTTTTGATCTTCAATTAATATGTTTGTGTATTGTTTTTATTTCTTTTCTTCAAGCTCTAAATTATTATCACTATCCATTGATTTGTGAATAACAAGGTGACATGTGAATTATTAGTTCAAAAAACATTGTGAAAATAGGAATTTATGTAGGAGACAGAGATATACTTTTACTAATTTTGCAGTACTTAATTGACTTCTTTTGTTATTGAATGCTCCTAATTAAGATTTATTGTGATTTACATCTGGATATAATCAGTGAATTTAATTAAATATATTTTGAACTCGAGAGAAGTAAATTAATTAATTTAGAAGAATTCGATTGGTTATATACAATTGATTTGATACACATTATAATGAGAAATTTTGGAAAAATGTATTATGGATTAGCATTTTTTTGGGAGATTAGGCGGTTAAAAAAGAAGATTTTTTTTTTCTATTTACGTATAATATTATTTTAATGAAGAATGCGTGGAAGGAATTGAGGAAAAAATGTATTAAAAATTTAAAGAGTGTCAAACAAGGGCTGATTGTGTTGGGATTTGTTGTTTGAGATTAAGGGAATAACTACAACGAACTTAATAATCCAAACATATATAATTACGATCGATTGATTTAAATTATAGTATGACTGCAATTACGTGCATCTATATATGTATAATTATATAAATTATAGTTAATTGATTTCAAATATAGTATTAATGCAATTGCGTAAGTCTACATACGTATAATTATATATAATTGTGACTGATTGATTTAAATTACTGTGTTATCGTTTCCTTGCTAAACTGTCATGCAAAAGGTATGTTGTTGGAGTGAGCAGATCTTTCAATCTTATGTTGTGAGGGATGTTACCTATGCTTTTTATTCATCAATTAAAATCGTAAATTGTCTATTTGCATACTTTTTAATTATTTGCTTAGAGTTATTATATTTATGATCATCATTAAAATCACTTTTAATTGTTCTTACAAGTTAGGGATATTTGAACCAACAGTTAGGTATTTAGTTCTGATGTGAATGATAATTCGAACTCTTTTTATTTACTTTATTACTTGTTTAATTGACATCGTTTATTTATAGTTAAAAAATTATAAGTTTTTGCTCTGTTGTTGAAAACTATTTTTGTTTAATATTGAATTAAATTATTTCTATCTATTATTATTTTTTTTATTCTTTTTCTTTTCTGGGTTGATCTACTTATTTTTCTTGGTTTTATTGTCTGTTAGGGAATTTAAAAAAGAAAAAAAGAAAAAGATGTAAATGAACAGCAACAATATCAGATAAGAGATCTTGAAATTGATGATGATGACATCTTGTAGGAGATGTGTTTGCACTACAGAATATGATCTACATGTATAAATGTTTTGTGGGAGATGTATTCTCATTTCTCATTACAACAAAAATGGTATTTTACAACATGCTAAAGGCAATATTGGTTAATTGGGTATTGTTAAAAGAG